CACCCACACCCACACCCCCACACACACACCACCCACACACACACCCCCACACACCCACCCACCCACACACACACACACCCACCCACCTGGACCAGCGTCGATACTCTTGGCCATCTTCCCACTGTCCAGGTCCCAGACCCGCACATGACTGTCCAGACTGCTGGACGCCGCCACTGGGAGTGCAACGGTCAAAGAGAATCTCAACGGAATAAAAATGTTTTTGTTAAGTTCAGGGATTGAGCAGTGACTTTCTCCTCAGCTTTAAACCCCGCGGCTTAAACAACAGTGCAGTTTATTTGTGGACTTTCCTGAATACAGGAGTGACACGCCCTCGTCTATTTTTAGCATGCACCGAAAACATTCAAAAGTCATGGGCATCAACATAGAATTTTAAAAAAGGAGGAACTTCCCACGTGACCGTGACAGAAGACCATGTTCACGAGAAACCCATCATAATTATTGTTTAACCCTAGAATGCTGAAACAAAAACCATCAATTTATCAAAGCAAGGTTGTATAAATTTCATACCAATTTGAGGGCTGGGAAGATAATTTCAAGAAAGAGTCACCTACCAAATATTTACAATCTTGATTATGTACAGAAAGTGGCAGTTCAGCGGAGGAAATGGCGGTAGCGAAAATCTGCTACAATCTCACAATCACGACGGCTAACCAGAGACAAAATTACCCCAAAAAAGTAACAAATTTCGGGTAACCGACTCAAAATCAACCGATATGATAACGCGATAACGGTAAACGTAAAGGATACGGGACCCGTCGGCATTAATGTCCACAGACACGACCCCCAGCTGATGTCCCTCCAGCGTGTGCCGCAGCTCCAACTTGTCCTCCTGCCTGCAGGGGCAAACAAACAAACAAAACATTAAAAACAAACAAACAAAACATTAAAAAAATAAAAAATAAAAAAATAAATTATCTGCCTACAGGGGAGAACAAACAAACAAAACATTCAAAACAAACAAACAAAACATAGAATTATCTGCCTACAGGGGAGAACAAACAAAACAAAACAAAAAACAAAAAAAACAAAAATTATAGAATTATCTACCTACAGACAGAAATGAAAAAATCATACAATCATTATCTACCGATAAGAACAAAAAAACCCCAAACAAAACAAATCACCAAAAGATAAAACAAAATAATTAAAGAAACATCTACCTAGAGGAACAAACAAATACCATCATAAAATTATTACCTACAGAAAAAGAACAAGAAAAAAAAAGAAGAAATATCTAGATCTACACTACGGGAGCAAATTTAACAAAAATCATACAATCATCCACCAACAGATGAAAACAAAATAATCAAATAACCATCTACCTATAGAAACGGAAAAAAACAAAAAACTAAGATCATCGAGCAACAAATGAAAATAAAACAATTATTTAATCATCACAAACAAACAAACAAACAAACAAACAAAACCAGAGAATTATCGACCTACAGAAAAAAGCAAAAAAATAAAATTATGGACCTACAGAAAAAAGCACAAAAATCATTAAATTATGGACCTACAGAAAAAAACACAAAAATCATTAAATTATGGACCTACAGAAAAAAGCACAAAAATCATTAAATTATCGACCTACAGAAAAAAACACAAAAATCATTAAATTATGGACCTACAGAAAAAAGCACAAAAATCATTAAATTATCGACCTACAGAAAAAAACACAAAAATCATTAAATTATGGACCTACAGGAAAAAGCAAAAAAATAAAATTATGGACCTACAGAAACAAACAAAAGAATCATAGAATTATCTACTGTCAGAAATAAACAAAAGAATCATAGAATTATCTACTGTCAGAAACAAACAAAAGAATCATAGAATTATCTACTGTCAGAAATAAACAAAAGAATCATAGAATTATCTACTGTCAGAAATAAACAAAAGAATCATAGAATTATCTACTGTCAGAAACAAACAAAAGAATCATAGAATTATCTACTGTCAGAAACAAACAAAAGAATCATAGAATTATCTACTGTCAGAAATAAACAAAAGAATCATAGAATTATCTACTGTCAGAAACAAACAAAAGAATCATAGAATTATCTACTGTCAGAAATAAACAAAAGAATCAAAGAATGCTCCACCCACAGATCAAAACAACAAAATGATGGAATCTTCGACCTACAGAAACAAACATAAAAATCAGGAGAACTATCTACTTGGGGAAACAAACAAGAATTATACAATTATTAAATAAGACAAAGATTGAAATTACAGGACAATTCAAGATTTTCCTTTAAGAGGAGATAGATAGAAATTATTATAATGCTTTAAAAAAAAAAAAAAAGTCTATGGTAGCGCAACTAAAATCAAATTGGCGCACAGAAATCCAAACTCTAATCGACAATGTCTTAGCGCTCAACATATTTTCTTTTGAGGAAAAATGAGAAGAAAAAAACAAGACGAGGACAACTATTTATTACCACAGTGTGGGAGAGCAATAAATGGTTGGAAAAACGGAAACAAACCCGCCCCCCCCCCCCCAACAACACAAACAAATTCAAAATCAACCTCCCACCCTCGAAGAAAACAAGCATTTATCTTTAAAAAAACCCTCCACATATATATATATATATATGACAAACGTTATAAGCACTCACCATTTCCAGACCTTGACATAATCGTCAATAGACCCGGTGACTACTGTTTCCGACATGCTCGGATCTCGCTCGTTGCGACCGAACGCACAGCTCCAGATGCTGTCATCGTGGGCTATTGCAGAAGAAGATATATATATATATTTATATATATATATATATTTATATATATATTTATATATATATAATATATATATATATAAATAAAAATAAATATATATATATATATATATATATATATATATATATAAAAATAAAATTTTAAAAAAATAAAAAATATATATATAAATAAAAATAAATATTAATATAAATATAACTGTGATCAACTTTCTGTCATATTTTGAAACTATTATTTTGACATGCATACATAAGTGATAGCCTTTCGCGTCTTAACAGGTGATCTTAAAGCAGTATGTGCGATAAAGCTTTGCCTGGGCCGTAGACAACAGTCATTTTTAAAGCAGAGACAGGACTTTAGGAGGGGAGGGAGGGAGGGGGAGAGAGAAAGGGGGAGAGAGGAAGAGAGAACTGTACTGTAGCTTTTTGTCACACTTTGATACTGTTATTTTGAGCGGGGGAGGGGGGGGGA